GTACATACTAAGAATGCTAAGTATGCTAAGATAATAAGAATTCCTATACCTTACCAGACCAGACCAAAGTGCAGCAGTCCCAGCTCTGACAGCAGCCTGCTAGATGCCTCTGGAAAGCTTACAGACAGTGATGATGTCCTATTCTAGCTAACTCTGCCACTAAGGGGTTCAGATTCCTAACCTTCTCCTCTAGAAAAGGGAACTCTCCAGCAAATCATGGAGCAGGTTCGAATTCAGCAACAGAGAACTTTTAGTAGGGCCCAAGACTAGTTCCCTAGCATTGTCCATGCTAGCTTGGGCTGATGGGCATTGAGATCCGAAAACATCAAGAGCAGCTGTGTGGATCCTCCTGATGTTTCTGAACTACAGTTCCTATCATCCCTGGCCAATGGCCATACACACCAGGACTGGTGGGAGTTGTAGTTCAGGATAATCTAGATGGTCAAAGGTTCCTGACTCATGATTCAGAAGGTCACAACTTCTCCATTCCCAAGTCTATTAAAAAATAGCAAGGGAGCCATCCATTCACACAACTACAACTAAGAAAGTGACAAAGAATTGTGGGAACACACCGTTTCTCACCTGCTTGTGTGAACTGAAGGGTTATGTTGCAACCAATTCACATTGAGCGATCTCCTCTTGGAAATTTCCAAAAGCCCCACAGAAGAGAATATACAGGTGATAACAATCTCCCAAGTAATTGTGTTCAAAACAGAAACAGAGGCATTTCTCCATCTCTCTCGCCATTTCATTGAAATGGAGGGCTTCCTCCAGTTAGCCAGTCACATAAATTGCACACAAATCAGAGGCGCAATTCCACCTGCACACCAGGAGCCAAAGGATTACACATTGTTTATGAAAGCTGCCTCTTAGAAGGAGGGGAAAGGGATTTTTGAATGGTTCAAAAGATAAGGATACTCATTCCTAACATTTCATTCCATTCACCTGCTTGGCTGTGCCAAGGGGACTCTTTCTTTTTAAGCATACAATGAGACGACAACGACAAACATGTGTTGTGCTCCGAATATGAAATAAGCAAGAAGTAATTTGTTGGGTTTTGGTGCACACAGATTTCCCAAGATGAGCCAATTTTAAAACTCACATTGAAAAATTAGCAAGACTATGACACAGCGGGCATTTTTAAAAGTCCCTTCCAAGGGCCTCTAGCCATTAAGGAAGGTGAGCTCCCCACCTGATTGTGTCACATTAGCTCCAGAATAATAATAATAATAATAATAATAATAATAATAATAATGTATTATTTATACCCCGCCCATCTGGCTGGGTTTCCCCAGACACTCTGGGCGGCTTCCAACAGAACACTAAAATACAATAACCTATGAAACATTAAAAGCTTCCACAAACAGGGCTGCCTTCAGATGTCTTCTAAAAGTTTGGTAGTTATTTTTCTCTTTGACATCTGGTGGGAGGGCGTTCCACAGGGCGGGTGCCACTACCGAGAAGGCCCTCTGCCTGGTTCCCTGTAACTTGGCTTCTCGTAGTGAGGGAACCGCCAGAAGGCCCTCAGCGTTGGACCTCAGTGTCCGGGCAGAACGATGGGGGTGGAGGCAATTTTTTGGTCTGGCCAGGGAAGCAGCAGGGTTTATTCTCCGAGTTATATTCATTGGCATTCCGTGTGAAATGTGCAAAGCGCAAGGGGCATTTTCAGATAGTTTTGAGGGGTAGAAGTGGCTCACCAGGTGGAGTGGAGCTTCTAACTTTCCCACAGGTGAGTCACTGCTGCTTATTGGATGAACAGGGGGATAGGTGAGGCAGCTGGGAGGGCAAACACACTGACAATGGAGCTGGATTGGCTCCCGTGGTGCTTTTGTTGGGATATTCCGTTCCAATTTAAGAACAGACGTGTGGAATTGTTGTATGTCACATGTCTGTTTACACTCCAGCATAGCTTGCTGGGAACTTCCATTTGTGTATAGCTTTTGCTTTAGCTGCCTTGCTTCGGACATGAAGGGGATCAGACATGTTTCCTTTTGTCCTGATGTATGCTGAATAAACTGCTTGTAAATATGCTCACACAGCCTCTCCTGCCGCTTCTGTATGTGTGTTTACTCTGCTGAGTAGTGTGCTCTAGCTTTTGAAGCTTGGGTCGCAGATTCATGCTGATCCAAGGACTGGAGTTCGTCCGGTACACCGGCCAGTGGGATGGAGCCAGCTAGGGGCCTGCCAACTGCCCCCGCTTCCTTGGTTGCATGCCAACAGCTTTTGCACTGCACTGACTTCCCTGTCCCTCCTCCTTCCCTCCCAGTAAGCAACAATGACCCACCTGAAGGGAAGCCAGCATAACCGCTCCACCCAATCCAGTGACCTGCTTCTGGCAGGGGTTGAATTTCAGAGGAGGGGCAAATTTACCACCAGTAGGAACATGTGAAGAGCCTGCTGGATCAGGCCAATGGCCTATCTAGTGTTCTGACAGTGGCCATCTAGACACCCAAGGGAAACCTGCAAATGGAATCTGGACACAAAAATACATTGCCCTCTTGTGCTTTTCCAGCAATTGGGATTCAGAAGCTTCACTGCCTCTCACCACAGAAGCAGAGCAGAGCTATTGCGGCTGGTATCCTCAGTATCTTCTCCTCCACAGATTTGTCTAATCCTCTTTCAAAGCAACCCAAGTTGAGGCCCGTCACTGCCCCACGGGAAAAAAATTCCATAGTTTAACTGTGTGAAGGAGGACTTTATTTTCTATGTCCTGAATCTTCCAACATTTGGCTTCATTGAATACCCACAAATTCTAGTGTTAGTGGAGACGAAGAAAAGTTTTCATTTATCCATGCAGCATCATGGTGCAGCTCTCATTTCACAGCAGTAAGCCTTTTTGGTTGGTTGGTTTTTCCAATGAGGTGGACCAACTAGCAGAGGAGGAGATAGGTGGGAGGTTTCAGTACATGCTTTGGATCAGAATTGTTCAAGATTACTACAGCTCTAGAGGGATGCGGGTGGCACTGTGGGTTAAACCACAGAGCCTAGGACTTGCTGATCAGAAGGTCAGCGGTTCGAATCCCCGTGATGGGGTGAGCTCCCGTTGCTCGGTCCCTGCTCCTGCCAACCTAGCAGTTCGAAAGCACGTCAAAGTGCAAGTAGATAAATAGATACCGCTCCAGCGGGAAGGTAAACGGCGTTTCCGTGCGCTGCTCTGGTTCGCCAGAAGCGGCTTAGTCATGCTGGCCACATGACCTGGAAGCTGTACGCCGGCTCCCTCGGCCAATAAAGCGAGATGAGCGCAGCAACCCCAGAGTTAGTCACGACTGGACCTAATGGTCAGGGGTCCCTTTGCCTTTTTACTACAGCTCTAGCTCTCTCTCTCTCTCTCTCTCTCTCTCTCTCACACACACACACCGCCCTATGTTTTTGATCTCCAGCACTCTGCTGCTATCCATCAAAATCACAAGCATTTTGCTAATGAAAACATATCAACCCAAAATACCACTTCTGCATTCAACACTCACATTTGAAATATCTGATATCTACTTGTTTAAAACACTGCTGCAACAAGGTGGAGGAGGAGGCAGGGGGAGGGAAATCAATGAATATGGAAGAGTTTCACAGAACCCAAAATGACTTCACCTACTTTCCATTCAGTGTTTTTTATTTAAGAATTATGAGTAAACAGCGAAGATTTGGTATTAAAAGCCTTTCCCATTCAGTGTTCTGAAACTTCTTTAAAATATGAAATCCCTCTTTGTCGGCAGGCACACGAGGAAATGATAATTCAGGATGATCCATGAAGCTGTCATCACCCAGTTTTTAAGTTTCAATTATGGAATGTTTCCTACTCAACCAGGCAAAAAATCTGGGGAGGGGCAGCAAAGAAGGACGTGTGGTTCTTGGAAAGTTACCAGGTTATCATGGTGGTCATGAAATCTAAAACCACCCTGTATGGAGCAACTTCAGGATGGGCACTGCAAAAATCCAAAACAATCATCCTGGTGAATCTCAGCACCACATCCAACTGGTGCTCCATCAGTTCAGACAAGGAGACTGAAGGATAGTGGGGTGAATGGCTCACCAAAAATATACCTGACCTGTTCCAAGAGCCCAACACAAGAAACAGAATAAGAATAAGAATAAGAATAAGAATAAGAATAAGAATAAGAATAATTTATTATTTGTATCCCGCCCATCTGGCTGAGTTTCCCCAGCCACTCTAGGCGGCTTCCAACAAAGACCAAAAATACACTAAGATGTCATACATTAAAAACTTCCCTGAACAGGGAAGTATCTCCATCTCAGTGTCTCCATCTCAGTTCTGCTGTGAGCAGACCCATGTCTATTAACTTACATGAGTAGGATTAGTGCTGGATACAACCCAACCACTCTGCTTTGGTCCTCAAACTAGGAATTTCCCAGACATAGCTGGAATATGGAAAGAAGTCTCTCTCTCTCTCTCTCTCTCTCTCTCTATATATATATATATATACACACACACATGGGGGGGGGGAGCTCAACAATTTTGCAACCCTACCTCAAATGGACACAAAGCCTGGGAAGGGAGCTAGGACTTCTATAGGCCTGAGGGCAGCCAGATTTCAGACTTGTAGGATCAAGGTTTTTACTAGAAGCCAGAAGCCTATCAACTGGAGAGGGGTACACAGTGATGGCTCAGGGCAAGAATGAGCCAGGTATTCTTAGAACTGCAGGAAGGGCTGCAGCTTAGTGGTAGACCATCTGATTTGCATGAAGACTGTTCCAGGTTCAACCATTAGCATATCCAGTTAGGGCTGGGAGAGACCCCTGTTTGAAACCCTGGAGAGCCACCGCAGGTCAGTGTATACCAGTGTTTCTCAACCTTGGGTCCCCAGATGCTGTTGGACTACAACTCCCATCACCCCTGAGCTCTGGCCTTGCTAGCTAGGGATGATGGGAGTTGTAGTTCAACAACATGTGGGGGCCCAAGGGTTGAGAAGGGCTGGTGTAGACAGTACTGAGCTAGATGAGCCAATGGTCTGACTCGGGATACGACAGCTTCCTATGCCTCATACTTGAGAGGTCAGGGATTGAACCTGTGACCTTCTGCACAAAAAACAGGTGCTCCTCCACTGAGCTACAGCCCTGATCAATCAAACAACTGGGCCAGCATCTTCATCTGGATCTAAAAACATCAGATGGCCAGGATGGCTTGTTAATGAGAAAATGGGTTGGCACAGAAGATGATCATTGCTTCATTTGACAGGACACACCATCTTATGCGATGCACCATCTCCGCTGTAACTGATAGCATCGCGCTGCTCCTCTAATTGTCGCTACCTTTTCAAGATTAGCAAACCATAAAGCAATAAAAGAAAAGTTACTGCCTTCTCAGAGGAAATGTCTATTAGCTTTCTCCATTTATGCCTTGCAGGTGATGATAAAAAAAGTTAAAATTTCAGCCATAAAACAAGCCCAAAAGCTTTCATAGTTTTCTTCAAGAAAAAGAAAAGGTCAGACATGAGCACTAGGACACTTCTGGGTGTTTAAATTTCACACTGGAGGGTAAATGTGATTATTTTAAATGGCTGGTATTCTTTAGTGTTTTACATCTGAGTGCCTTTGTCTCAAGGAGCTACAGCTGGGTGACGAAGGCCCTTGGGCAAAACAGGGACCTGAATTCAGGAATGCATCCATTGTGGACTTTGTGCTGCCCATGCCTGCAAATTTTAATGACAACTGCCTCAAAATGACATCCCATTCTATGAGTCGAATGAATGGAATTCCACTCACACAACAGGACTTTCCATTCCCCTACTCTCCCCATGCGCCCCAAAAATCTTCTCTGGAGTGTCCCCCCCAACCCCCTGGAGTGTGCACAGGGTGGGCAGGTGGAGAACTAGAGCAGAGGAGGAGGACGTTCCGTTGCACAAGCAGAATTCTGCTGCATGGGCAGTGTAGCAGTGTTGGAGCACATTATACCCTCCAACATTTCTCCAATGAAAATAGGGACATCCTATTCAATAATAATGAAGGGGCGTGGGTGGTGCTGTGGGTTAAACCACTGAGCCTATGAATTGCCGATCAGAAGGTCGGTGGTTCGAATCCCCACAATGGGGTGAACTCCTGTTGCTCGGTCCCTGCTCCTGCCAACCTAGCAGTTTGAAAGCATGTCAAAGTGCAAGAAGATAAATAGGTACCACTCCAGCGGGAAGGTAAACAGCATTTTCGTGCACTGCTCTGGTTTGCCAGAAGCGGCTTAGTCATGCTGGCCACATGACCTGGAAGCTGTACGCCGGCTCCCTCGGCCAATAAAGCGAGATGAGCGCCGGAACCCCAGAGTCGGTCACGACTGGACCTAATGGTCAGGGGTCCCTTTACCTTTATTCAGTAATAATAATGATGATAACATTGATACCCCATCCATCTGACAGGGTTTCCCCAGCCACTCTGGGAAGCTTCCAACATATATGAAAACATAATTAAACATTTAAAAAACTTCCCTATACAGGCCTGCCTTCAGATGTCTTCAAAAGGTTGCATAGTTACTTTATCTCCTTGGGTTGCAAAACTCTATACTTTCTGATGAAAATAGGGACATCCTAAGGAAAAGCGGGATCATTCCAGTTAGATGGGTGGGGGATAAATAATAAAATGATAATGATGGAATAAACGTAAAGGGACCCCTGACCATTAGGTCCAGTCGTGGCCGACTCTGGGGATGCGGCACTCATCTCACTTTATTGGCTGAGGGATCCAGTGTACAGCTTCCAGGTCATGTGGCCAGTGACTAAGCCGCTTCTGGAGAACCGGAGCAGTGCACGGAAACAGCGTTTACCTTCCCGCCGGAGCGGTACCTATTTATCTACTTGCACTTTGACGTGCTTTCAAACTGCTAGGTTGGCAGGAGCTGGGACCGAGCAATGGGAGCTCACCCTGTCGCAGGGATTTGAACTGCCAACCTTCTGACTGGCAAGTCCTAAGTTCTGTGGTTTAACCCACAGCGCCACCCGCATCCAATGATGGAATAGGATGTCCCAATTTTCATTGGAGAAATGTTTGGGGGTTTGCCATTGTTGCATGTACTGTAGCTCAGCACTGTCAACACCAAACGACAGTGGCTTCCCAGGGCTTCAGGCAGGAGTTTCGCCCAGGCTTACCTGCAGATGTTGGTGGCTGAAGCTATAACCTTCAGCATGCAAAGCAGATGTTCTACCACTGAGCGGCAGCCCTCCCCCTAGTGTTCTTCATCTCTTCAATCCTAGCTGAAGAGTGTAGCCATGACTGTATAATTATTGATAGACACTGGTGTTAAAAGCAAATCACTTGCTCTCAAAATACCCAGTCCACTTTGAAAACTAATGATGTTCTTTGCTGTCATGGAACTGGTTATGACCCTTGCTAGGGAGAAAAGATAATGCAAAGAAATCTTATGAGCCTTTCCAGCATCAATAAAGGAATGCTGGCCAGGGGAAAGGGAGGAACAGACTTGTGGTTTGCCTATATTTAACCACCTCCGATCATTAGAGGCATGGCAATTCATCATAATCAAGCACACTTCAGGAGAAAAAAATCTGGAGTGCAAACACCACAGTGCTCTTCTTGACACTTACACTTCTCAGTTAGCAAGCCCAGGTGCTAACTTTTATTTTAAGACGTGCTCCACACCCAGCCCCATTTCTAAGCAGACCCACATTCAGGAAGGGCTGGGTTCACCATTCTGTGTAACGCACTACATAATGGGGTAACAACAAAACTGGAACCATTGCTGAAGCAGAGTTACGTTAGAGCTGGACCGATGAGCACTGGGCACCTTTGATAGGTCATGTGCTGACAAAAGTCTTGGTTAGAAACCAGATGCTTAAACAAAGTGTGTGTGTGCACACCCACATCCACACACCCATATTTTTCAGTGTACAAGACACCCCCATGCATGAGACGACCCCTCTTTTTATGATCCCAAAATTAAGACATCCATATTTTAAACATCAAACGGAACAACTTTGTTGAGGAAGATCGCTGAAAGTTGCTGAGCTTTTTTTTTTTTTTTTTTTTTAGTAGATCGCTGAAATTTGTTCCGCTATTTTGGAAGATTGCCCTGCTGCCCCCGTGCCACCCCAGACCTTCCAACACTGCTTGTGAAAAGTTTTTGTTTTTGTTTTTTTTAAAAAAACCCACCTGTGTATAAGACGACCTGCCATTTTTGACTGGGGGGAAAAAAGCAAAAAACCTTGTCTAATGCACAGAAAAATACAGTACATTGCTAAGTTGCAAACTGATGCGGAAATGTGTCAAACTGAACCTAAGATTGGGAAAAAATGGAGAGAAGTCGAAACTGACGGATTCATCCATTCCTGATCTGTGTTCTTCAAGCCTGTATTTTCAGCCAACTTACTGAACAGAATTAACAACATAGCCTATTTAAGCAGATTCATTAATTGCTAATTAATTTCAAGGGAGGCAGCAAAATCCAGAAAATGGATAGAAAGCGGGGAGAGTAATTTACTCCATATTTCCATTATCCATCCCTTTGAAACACCTTGCTAAATGCTGAGTCACTAGAACCTTGCTAGAGACCACCTCCACAGTGAATTAAGCAAAACATTCCATGACCACTGAGTTCTTTTAGAAAGGAAGCTTTTGAAGTCAGAACTCTAGGAAGAGTGGCACATTCATCAGTTTGAATGACTTCTCTGCATTGGTTATAATTTTAAAAACCAAGTGAAGGCCACTGAAGTTACATTGTGCAGAAATGTCCAGGAATCCACTCACCATTTTTCCAGGGCCATTTACTCTCACTTGAGGTAATTTTAATCTGTTTTAGCATTTTAAGTTTTGTATGTTTTGAAGGATGGTTGTGCATTTCCCCTTGATTTTCTTGTTTTATGTTTTCGTAAACCACTGTGCTGTCCTTCTTCTTCTCTGGCGATCCCTCATAGCCGAGTGAGATTGTCTTCCATAAACACGGTTTTAACAGTGAGTCTGTAAGTGACTGTGGAGGCCAATTCTGGATTCCACACTTCCTTCCACAGTGGGGACACCACTGTGCCATCCTACAGACCCCTTGGCACCCAACGCCCCCCCCCCCATGGTATGTCTGGGTTATTATTTTATATTTTTATTGATTGATTGAATTGTAATTTTGTATTTGTGTTTACTGTAGTTTTATTCTATTTTCTTTTGCCTTTATCTCTTCACCACTTGGGGGGCCTTGCCCGAAAAGCAATTTAGAAATAAACCAATGGTCATGATGACTCAATATAATAAGAAACCAATGATGATGATTCTATGTTGTTCCTCCTGTGATCCTGTCAGTACAGTGGTACCTCGGGTTAAGTACTTAATTCGTTCCAGAGGTCCGTTCTTAACCTGAAATTGTTCTTAACCTGAAGCAACACTTTAGCTAATGGGGCCTCCTGCTGCCGCCGTGCTGCCGGAGCACAATTTCTGTTCTAACCTGAAGCAAAGTTCTTAACCAGAAGCACTATTTCTGGGTTAGTGGAGTTTGTAAACTGAAGCGTATGTAACCTGAAGCGTATGTAACCAGAGGTACCACTATACACTACTCAGCTTTATCGCAGAAAGTTATGTGCCCACCTAGACTCTGTGAAAAGTGGTGAAATGGGGCATCCGTTCAGCAAATTCTAGAGAACCAGGAGCACAAAGGCACAAGCACACATGTGCGCTACTCGTGTGCATGATGAGTGACAAGATCCATAAAAAGCTGCCGTGGTCCTGCGCCAGTTGCTGCCAACATTAGAGCAAAATCACCCACGACCAAAATAAAGCACTTGTAAATACTACAGTAGAGATTAAACGGATTCTAAACAAAACAGCCACCTGGGAACAGAATGGCTATTGAGCTGGCATAATGATTGCATCTCCATCCCAAAATAGCCTGTCTAAACAAAACTCTGACTCTCCCATTGGCTCTAACAATCCGGATGGGTACAAACCACTCATGCCACATCCTGGCCAATCCTGGCACCTAGAGCAGCTTACAAGCACAACAAATTACTATTATTATTTATATCCCAAGCTTTTAAGGATGCAAATTCCTCCAGTGCAAATTCCCTCCATTACAAATGCAGATATAAAGTCGCCATAAGGCAGCAGTAAATAAAATAGAGGAAGCTGGCTTATACAGAGTCA